GGCCTAGCTGTGAGGAGTGTGTTACCATGGAAACGATACTGTAGAGAAGTGGGAGGAGCTTAGAGAGGAGAGTTTTGAAAAGCGACAGTTAAAGTCAGTTAGGTTTTAGGTTCCGAGGAGTGAACAGTTAGTTTAGGGTTTAGGCTCAGAGGAATGAAGAGTCAGGGTTTAGGCTCAGAGGAATGAAGTGTTGAGAGAGAGAGAGTGGGAAGTAGAGAAGCAGTGTTTGTGAATAGTCAGAGGTTTCTTCAGTTTAGGAAGGCTGAAGGGGAAACCTTATTAGTTTCATTAGTTAGAGAAGACTAATAGAAGCTTGTTTAGATCACTAGTTAAAAGTGAACTAGAGATCTGAGGTTTGATCACGGAAGGATCAAACAGGAAGACTATTCACTTCAGGAACCATTGTTTAATAAAGTGCTTCACCACAGCAAAAGTTATTGATAAGTTGTAACATCAGAAGTCTGTACTGTATCGCAACCAAGTTATATGTAACGTTCTCCAAGCATCTTCCAAGTTTATCACCAAACTGCAACCATACGCTTTGTTTCAAAATAAACTTGTTCTCTTTGATTTTAAGACTGCCTCATCTCCATTAATTCTGGCGTTCAGTGTGCCCAATCTCCCAAATTACCTCACATCACAAATTGGTGGCTCCATTAAGGATAATAAATAATAAATCGAAACTTCTCTCTCCTGAAACCCCTTTTCTTTGAAGTGGGGCAACCCCTTTGCATAGGGAAATTTATTCTGTGGGTTAATCACAAAGTGTCCAGATAGATGTTTCCCTTTTTGGAGATTGAATGCCAGTTTTAGTGGATGATATTGAAACCATTATTGTGAGAGGTCATTAATGTGAAGTAATTAATAGTTTGATAAATCCTTGTCCTATTTGTTGTACATTATTTATTGAATTACCCTGATCATAAGAATTTGACAGATTGTTGAATGTTAAACAGCAGCATCAGTAAAGTCAGTACAAAAAACCCACTGAGCCTGGTATGGTTATAAAATCAAGCATTGGTTAGTGAAGGGTCAGTGTTAACTGTTTGGTACTCACTGGTGCTAATGTTGTTCTAAACAAACAATATTAGTTTTCTGTCTTTGTAAGAAGCTGCATTTTTACAAAACATTTATGGAAGTGTTCACTTAAAACCTTGCTAGTGTAGGGTTTACTCTTAATCACACTGCTTTGAACTGATGTCAATGTGTGGTGATAAATATCAGTATCAGAGGTTCAAGTGTAAAACAGCAGCCATTGGACTGAAATATCTTTGTGTAGGGGAAGATTAGTAATGTCTGATCTTTTGTTGTTGTGTGCATTTAAGTCATTTCTGACTTCTGACAACCTTAAGGTGAACCTGTCATGAGGTTTTCTTGGCAAGATTTGTTCAGAAGGGGCTTGATTTTGCCTTTCCCCGAGGCTTGAAAATGTGACTTGCCCAACATCACCCAGTGGGCTTCCATGTCTGGTCTCCAGAGTCCTAAGCTAATGCTCCTACTATGCTGTCCATCTGACAATTACCTTTTAAAAACTCAATAATGTAGTTTTAAGGACAAAATGTTTATTTTATATGAATTGTTTCATATAAATTTGGATTTATATTTGTTAAGCTGTTCAGAATACAATGTAAAAAAATAATTGTGTGCTTTGAAGCAGCAGCTTTTTGCTGATGATGTCAGCAAAATGAAATGGCATCTTTTCTTGGACATGATTTGGGCATAAAGTGAGAAACATTAAAATTGATGTGAAAAAGAAGCTGACAAAATACTAATACATTTGTCATGTTTCAGTAACATTGAAAGGCTTTCTTGCTTTCAGAGGCCTAAGAGTTAACCTATAGAAATGAAAATCCAAGCTGAGGTTCTTAACTGGGTGTTTTCTCCCTGTGGCTTACTTAGGTAGATGCACACCTGTTTCCTCAAGGTTAATGAAGTGTTGTTATGTTGCTTACGAGATGTAAATTAAAACAACCTGGTTACTAGTTTTTAATTAGGAAGGAGAATCAAGGTTTAAAAGTGCAGGAGAACTAGCATGTAAGCTAAATCTGTATTTTTACTTCTTTTCCCACACCTCTGAAATTTGGAATGTGAGACTTGAAGGGTAACAGCAGCATTCTGTTATGTTACACTATACGTCACTGAAAATAAATGGGAAGTTATGCAAGATAATCACTTTTGGTTTTAGGACCAAAAATTCATCCAACACTTCCGTCATCTGGTACCCAAGCAGATTATTGTGCTGAAGAAGTACAGATGTCTTAGGCTGGTATATTCAGACTCGTTTCCCCTTTTCTAATAAAAGTTTTGAAATGTCAGTTTGCTATAGCACCTTTCACCTGTAATTCTTAAAGGATTCTGCAGGCTACATGAAGTATTCATTGTTTTTCTATTCCAAAATTAAGCATCTGCGTTTAACTTTCTGTGCTGAAAATTAGCAGAAAGTATTCTACTTTCATACAAAGCACATGTTTAATTTTTTTTATTAATAAAAATGGTATGTAGATGAAGGAAGTATTGTGTGAGGACTTGACTAATGATCATGTGAAAGGAAATATAACTCTATCCGAACTCACCTGAGCACAGAAATAATTAGTTTAAGGAGTTAGCTCACAGCCAGTTCAGCAGTAAGCAAATTCAGTGAAGAGCCATACACCATGACTGACTTTACACATTGCTTATAATGAAAATTTCCCATATGTAACAGAATTAAAATCTAACGGAATGCCAAAAGTTTGCCGTTTGTATGTTGTGCTCTGCCCTGAGTCCCCTTTGGGGTGAGAAGGGTAGAATATAAATGTTTCAAATAAATAAAGAAATAAATGCAAGCCGTACAGTTGCTAAATGTATTTGGTATGGTGTCACAATTCTCAGGGGCAGGGGCATGAAAACGTCAGAAAAGGGAAGGTCAACAAAGATTGCTATCTCCTCCTTTCCACTACCAGAATTTGCTTACTGGATGAAAAAGCTTTTTTGTAAACTTGAGGTGTGGTTGTCTCCACAAAAGCCAGGTCCTGGATCCATCCCAAAATATGTTTAAGAACTTCTTAATATATATCTTTATGAAGGAATGGGTTGTGTTCAGTTCTTGTCACTAAATACCTAAATCTGCAAATCTTTCTGCATTGTGAAGTTATAGGGTATTGCAAGAAGATGGACTCAATTTAAAATTGCTATATTTCTGCAGCCACAAACAAGCCAGGAATCCTCAATGGTCTTAGAATCATAGAATCATGGAGTTGGAAGAGACCATATGGGCCATCCAGTCCAACCCCCTGCCAAGAAACAGGAAAATCGCATTCAAAGCACCCCTGACAGATGGCCATCCAGCCTCTGTTTAAAAGCCTCCAAAGAAGGAGCCTCCACCCCACTCCAGGGCAGAGAGTTTCACAGTCAGGAAGTTCTTCCTAATGTTCAGATGGAATCTCCTTTCTTGTAGTTTGAAGCCATTGTTCCGCATCTTAGTCTCTAGGGCAGCAGAAAACAAGCTTGCTCCCTCCTCCCTATGACTTCCTGTCATATATTTATACATGGCTATCATGTCTCCATCTGTATTTGTATTCATTTGCTGCTAAAAGAATCCAGACTTAGGGTGAGCAGTGAGGTGGGAAAATTTGCTGAGTACCTTAAATTATAGGACATTTTTAAAAAATGGTCCCAATTTGAAATTGCTATATCTCTGTGATCACAATCCACCCATGAATGAAATTCTTACCACTTGAAAGTGTGGGCCATAAAGTGATTACCACTGATGCCTCTCCCAGCTCAGTAACAGCCCCTGGCCTCAGTCATCCGCAAGATAGCAACCCTGCCACCCAAGTCCTAATGAGATAGGATCCACCCAGATAGGATGAAGATCCACCCAGAGGAAAAGTGTTCCTGCCATACATCAAGGGAACCACTGATCGCATAGGGAAGCTGATGAGGAAAAACAACATACAAACAATCTACAAACCCACCAAGAAAATCCAACAAATGCTACGTTCAGCAAAGGACAAGAGGGATCCTCTCACCTCTGCAGGAGTCTACCGTATACCATGCAGCTGTGGACAAGTCTACATAGGGACCACCAAACGCAGCGCCCAAACACGATCAAGGAACATGAAAGGCGCTGCAGACTACTTCAACCAGAGAAGTCAGCCATAGCAGAGCACCTGATGAACCAGCCTGGACACAGCATATTATTTGAGAACACAGAAATGCTGGACCACACCAACAACCACCATGTCAGACTACACAGAGAAGCCATTGAAATCCACAAGCATGTGGATAATTTCAACAGAAAGGAAGAGACCATGAAAATGAACAAAATCTGGCTACCAGTATTAAAAAACTCTAAAATTATAACAGCTAAACAACAGAGAGGAAAAAACCAGGCACAGATTAACACCTCCCAGCAACAGATTTTCCCAGGCTCAGGCAGGCCTTCAAATGCTAATGAAGGTGATCAGCTAAACATTCACACCTAACTGCAGCAGGGAAGAGCTCCTTGCCCCACCCCAGCCATTCCACAGATATATAAACCCATTTTTCCTACTTCCAACAGACCTCACACCTCTGAGGATGCCTGCCATAGATGCAGGCGAAACGTCAGGAGAAATGCCTCTAGAACATGGCTCTATAGCCCGAAAAAAACCCACAAGAACCTAATGAGATATTTTCCACTTGCAGAGTTATTTTTAGATGTGTTTCTCTGGTTCAAAATGGTTAGTAAAACTTGATATCTAATTGTAACTTTTGTGTAATTGTAACACGTTGCCGTCATGAAATACACTGCTTTGAAATTGGGCCCATCATTTTGAAACATGCAGTATTTATATAAACCTTTCTATTTCTGAATCAGAGTGGATCAAAGATAGATGGAGAAGTCTTTACAACTATCTGGATATTCTAGTTGGATGCCTTAGATCTGTTATATTATTTTTTTTATTCTGCCTCATTCTATCTAAATGTGTTCCTCGGAAAAAATGTGGTTTTAACAGATTTTTTTTTAAAATATTCAGAGCTCTGTTGGCAGGAGGGGGCTTTTCTACGTGGACCTACCGGCAAGGATATGATGTCAGTATTCCCGTTTATAGTCCACTGTCTGCAGAGGTGCAGTTGCCAAATAAAGGACCGGGGTAAGCAGACAATGAGTGGAATGATGCAATATAACTGTTTTTACTAGTAATGATTTAGAAGACATATCTGTTTCGACAGGACTTTGATCTTTGATATTGCTGTTTTTAAATTGTTTTTAAATTGTGTTAGATTTTAGCCTGTTCTTATAAGCCGCTCCGAGCCCCAGGGGAGTGGCGGCATATAAGTTTGAATAATCAATCAATCAATCAATCAATAAATATCAGACATCAGTCAGTAAGACCCTAAACAAACAGAAATAGATAAAATTCTGCTAATAGCAGTGATCTCCTAATTGTTAAGAACTGGACAGCTGGAATATGGCTGCATATAACATTTTGGCAAGTTGTTTCTGGATCATCTGCTTATGAAAATTTGTGTCAGATCCTGTCTAGTGCATCTTGTTTACTTCATTACCTCATCACTGACAGTTCCAAACTTCCAAATATGTATAAGAAATAAGAATGTCTGGTTTTCCCAGTCTTTTTTACTTCTAGACCCTTTAGAGGAAAAGTCAACTTAATATTTGACAGAATGGTATTGGTCAGGATATGGTATCATATAGACATGGAAAACATCTTGAAAATTTCTTGGGACAAGAGGAGAGCATTCTAGTTTAATGAGAGTGGGGTTTTTTTTAGTATCTCTATGATGGTGAAAAATCCTTTCAGCGTCTGATACATTTTAAGTATGACTATACAGTCTTAGAACAGCCTTCTCATTTTCATTCTTTGAGTAGCATTTTCTGTACATAAATAATATATTGTAAACATGTATAATGTGTTGAGAAGTTGTGAGATTGCACCTTTTAATCCTGTTCCCCTCATTGCAGAACTTTTTCTCACATTCTGTTTGCACTTTACTATGGGTGTCTCATTTGGGCCATGCTTTGCATATAGCCATGTGTGCCTGAATGCCTCACTGAATTCTGGACCCTAGTTCCATAACTGAATGATGTGCACATGATTGAAATTTTGGCATGATCATTTCCCCATCCCAGATGTCCACATTACTCCATAGGATCAGAACCATGCATAGCTATATTATGTATTTAGTGGAATTGAAGACATAGCTCAGCAGCCCCTTTAACATGACATATCTTATTGTGTTGTCCTTTTGCAAAACGTATCAGAGTACTGGCTAAGGTTCAATGTGCAAAGTCTCAATAGTGACATTTTCCCATTATTATTATTTTTTTTTTGTCCAGGTAAAAACAAAAGGACTTTGTAACTAGAAGGCGTGCCTGCTTATGTATGTGTGAACAGTCCAAGTCTATGTTTTGAGTGTTTTGTGTTAGTTTTGTGTCTAATTGCCCTATATTGATTTGTATGGCTAGGAGATAAATGTATTGATGCTTACATCGCTGTAAACTACAGAAACCTTCACAGTGTGATCCAGGTATAATTATCACAATGAACAGCAAGCTGTGGATGAGATGCCATAGATGGAGAGTGCCATCTGCTTCTCTGTTGTTTCTTCACCAGACTTAATATGGCCTGCAACTCATCCCCAAATATTAACAGTCCAAAGGCTTCTTGAGCGACTCAATGTATTATGTCTACAAAGTGGCCGGCAGCCTCACCCAGGACAGAGACAGCCTAGATCTCAAAGCAGATAATTTAGTTACTTCTAATGGTGATGGAAATCTTATTGCCTGGTTTTTCCTGACTTTATTCTTATTTCTCCCATGGCCAAGGATAGGTATGGTCTTTACTTGCACCAACCCTTCCACCAGACTACCTTAAATAGCAGCATAAGGAAACATTTGAATTAACTGCAGGCCCTTTTCTGCAATGCTTTTTTTTTCCCTTTATGAAACGTAGCATCTTTTCCAGAAGAAAAAAACCACTGAGCTTCAAAAACTAGTATTTTGCTTCTTCTGGTTGGCTTAATAGAGGTATCACCATCCTTTGTATTTTATGCTTTGTAGTATTTTGCTGCATGGCCAACAAGAATACTCCTTAAGATAATGTAAGATCAGGCATTTGTCTGTTTTAGATTTACCTGTTCTGTGTCATGATCTAGCATAAACAACAACATTACTTAATAGAACTTTAGGGACTAAATCCAGTTTCAGTTCCTCCTAGAGTAGATCAATTGAAATCATTTCAATTTAAGTTAGTTATCACTATCAACTTGTTTTTATTTCCATGGGTCTGTTCTAGATAGGACTAACATTGGATTTCGCTTTTTGTTCTGGAAGTTAAATGTGAGGAAGAAAATATTGAAAATTCCACTGTGCCTGCACTTGTGCATTACAGCTGTTTGCCTTTGCATTAGAAATGCATCTCTTTTTAAAAATTTGCAGCCAGGCATGACAGATTTTTCTCCCCTTTAAGAATGGCTTCAATCACATGCCACTTAGCTCAGACCATTGGCATTTCTAGCACTTACCTACAGCTGTGCTGATGCATGTTTTAACTGTTATTCATTTTGGAGATCTGCAATGAGTCTAATTTTATTTTTATTATAAATATATGGAATCATAAAACCAGGATTGCTAATACTAAGTCGGTGAACAGAGATTTTAACAATCGAACCTCCATTTTATTTTAGCATTTCAGTCAAAACACCAAGCCAGTGATAATAAATACAAACAAGTTGTGTTTGTGTTAACTTCGGTTACTGAATTGTAAAATTAAACAATAGGTCGTTATTAAGAAATAATATAGATATGGAAAATGCTTGAGCTCTTTTGCACTCAATGTAGAAAGTACTACGTTAAATTAATTTAACTGATTTAGTTTAAGATGATTTCATATGTTCAAAGGCAGGATTATCTATGCAGTAGCTGCTTCCCTTAAGTAAACTTGCCAGTTCTTGATGGTCGTAAAGCAGATGCTCAGCAGACAGAATATCTGTTTAGCAAATGACTCCAGATGACTCAAGTGAACCAAAACATGCATCAGGGAAAGCAATCTCTCCTGCTGACCTCAAGCATGATGAGGAGCTAAACCCTGACTGTAAGACATACATTTGCCTTTTGATAGTAATCATGTCATTTAATCTACAGAGTATTTACATACATTTCTTCTAAGCACATGAAAACTTAACTGAAGCCTGGAGTTGCTTAATAGCAGTTGTGTTTATTTTGTTACCTGTATTTAAACCTGTATCTCAGGGTTTCTTTATGTCTTTGCTATAAACTTTTCATTACATTATTATTTTTATGTGAAGTTTTTAGAGCAGGGAACAATAAAACTTGGGGGGAAATCCACTGTTCAGAATTAAAACCAAGCAGTGAATACTAATTCTCAAGCAGTTGGTGGACAACCAAACTTCTAATTTGGTACTAAAATGATGCCAGCATTTATGCTATTTGGCTTCTAAGTGGAGGATATTCCATAATGCTGCTGAAGTAAACTGTAAGCTATGCTTGTCACTTGGGTCTTCTAAACTTAGTTTTTGTTTGCAAAAATAAATTTGTGTGAAGAAAAGTTAGCTCATTTTTTGGGAAAGGATAGAATGTCTTTGATTTGCAGATGGCACATCTAAGAGTCATGGAGAGTTTGCTGTGCATCTACTGTATTGCTGATCAAATTGGATAGTTCAGCAGATGTCAAGAACAATATAGCTTTTCTTACACATATGACCACATAATGTTTTACAGGTAGCACTTAGGACAAAATGACATCAATCCCAATAAATTAATAATTATTTCATTTAGTTTATGAGAAAATTCTTTGTAGTATGAAACCTGCAGGTAGATTCTTAGCATTATGTACATTATTCCAGTGTTTTACAATCTGCACTTAATGTGAATCTGAACAGTGTTTACTGAGAATAAAGCCCACTTATTTCAGTAGAACGTGCTTCCAAAACATGGTGACTAGTTTTACAGACAATTGCAGATAGTGCAGCTTTACTTGGGAGTAAGTCTCACAGAATTCGTTGTGGCTGACATAAGTTAGTATAAACAAACATATAGGTCATGATGAAATTCACTGTATTTACTGTACATTATTATTTACAGTCTAATGCTGGTTCCTTATATAACATGTTTACAAATCCTTCCAACTCAACTCTACTTTGCCAAAGATTCATTGCTTCCAAATTTCAACTTGTCAACTCTATAAAATGCTAAGGAAGGGGAAATTCCTATGAGCTTGTCTGTAAGGCTACGAAGCCTGAATAGTTTATCAGCATAAAGTGAAGCATAAACTGTATTATCTAGTGGGAAAACTTCTGGATTTACAGTTTCTCATTGTTGTTCTCTTTAGTCCCCGCAGGTATTTCCTTCTCTCATCTCAAATGGCCCTTCATCCTGAATATCGTACTGAATTGGAAACTCTTCAAGCAGAGAATGCAGAATCTGTGCTGATCCTAGACAAGTGTACAAACCTCTCAGAAGGAATGCCATTTATTCGTAAACGTTGCCATAATAATCAGATCTTTGATTATCCTCAGGTGCTTCAGGTAATGTTTATTGCTGTTACCACTTTTTTGTTTGATTACATGATAGTATTTTTAATGTGGTCTTACACCATTTCATTGATTTAAACACACTCATTTGGATCCAGAGTTGCTTCATGAGTGACAATTTGGCTGCTTTGAATTTATGGAAATAAAAAATTCAGTGGTTATGATTATGCTTTGGAGCCAGCTTTAGTTAAATTGGTATGGTAGACTGGCTACTTTTTGTCGAATGTCTTCAAAGTTAAAAAGGATATGGCTAGACTGGATGCTTTAACCAATCAGTAAAATTAAGTATGCTTTGAATTAACAATTATAGACAGATCAGGTCCAGAAACTGAAACTAAAGTGTTGAGGAGCCATTGGACATCTAAGCATCTGTAATAAGGCTTGGAGAGGTTAGAAAAAGTAAATGGCAACAAAATGAAGTTTTAGATCTTGCAAATGAGCACACTTGCATAATTCATCTAGACCAGTGGTTCTCAAACTGTGGGTCCCCAGATGTTTTGGCCTTCAACTCACAGAAATTCTATCAGCTGGTAAACTAACTGGATTTCTGGGAGTTGTAAGCCAAAACACCTGAGGACCCACAGGTTGAGAACTACTGGTCTAGACTGTTCGTGGGTTAAACAGGAGAATTTTTAATTCCTTGTCTTCCCTGTCCAGAGACTTAGACCTAATAGCAACAATTTTATACAGTATGAGTGATAGGTAAAGGTTCCCCCTTGACATTAAGTCTAGTTGAATCTGACTCTGGGGGTGGTGCTAATTTCCATTTATAAGTCGAAAGACCAGCATTGCCTGTAGACATCTCCTAGGTCATGTGGCCAGCATGACTGCATGGAGTGCCTTTACCTTCCCGTTGAAACGGCATGTTTTCAAACTTCTGGGTTGGCAGAAACTGGGGCTAAAAATGGGAGCTTACCCCATCCCATGGATTCAAACCACTGACCTTCTGGTCATCAAGTTCTGTAGCTTAGCGGTTTTTAACCTGATGCGCCACCGCGGCCTCTAATATGAGTGATACGCAAAGAAAATTAGAGTAGAAATGAATATATGAAAAAATTAAGGCAGATAGCATGTTAATGAAAAATTTTAAAGATATAACTGGGAAGGAGAGTAATTTCCAAATGCTTTTTTAGCAGCACCTTGTAGTTAATTTCTGGGCATAAATTCCAGGAAAGCTTCATAATTGGAACTGGATTTCTCGCATCTCTGTAGTTTATATTTACTTTGCTGTTCACTGTGTTTATAGACATATGTGAAACAGCAACCAGATTTCAGTATTGATTATTTTTTCCATTTCCAGCTTTGCTGGAAATGAGCATTGCCCATTCAAATACTGTAGACTTCCTCCTTTCATGGCATTGTCTGTTCACATTGGAGGATGTTGGAAGTGATTACCTTTCATATGTAATATCCTTTATGTTACTGCATGTATTTGCCCTTGTATTGAGCACTAATGTAGGGTTTTTATTTTTGGTATCTCCATACTTAGTAATTTGTGAAGTTTTTTGTAGGTTATGTTTGCATTTCCAGATGTACAAATATTGCCACAGGGGAATACTTTCTTTTCAAATTAATTTTTAAAATGTTTTAAATTTAAATTTTTGAAATTAGATTTCATATTGCACTACTGTAATCTGGGAAGCAAGCCTCAGGTCTTCTTCATCAGGCAAAGAAAAGAAAACCTGATATATTTTGTGCTCCTCCACCACCTAAAGTAAGGGTAGCCAATATGTAGATTGCCTGCAAACCCCCAAGCTCATATTTCTAGCTTATGGGACATCCCTAAACTGCCATTTAATTTCACTAGTAAAATTCACTGTTAAATTTTGGAAGCATACTGGAATAACATATTCAAAGCAAGTAGGAAAGTGCTTGCTTTAAAGGTGACTGCTGGGGGGGGGGGGGGGCTGTTACTGAAATTCTGGAGAACACTTTAAAACAATCATTTCCTGTCTGTTTTAAAGGACTTCTGTGATTTCCTGTCAAATTCCAGTAGTTCATATGTTGGGGAGTATGGTAAGATTAGGAGGGACGCTGGCCCTTTTGCTTCTAACTGCTGCTCCCCATCTCATATTGTACCAAACATTCAACCTTTGGGTTTCTACACAGGAGATCAAGGATTCTGTATTCACATTTTGAAGAAGACGGAACTTCTCTGTGGTGGCAAAAGAATGATATTAAAAGTTTGAAAATAAAGAATAGCCTGATTTTTTCCTCTTGTCATATGAATTTATTTCTGTTTGTTTCTTTCACCAAAGGGAGGCTGGATTGTTTTTAGTAGCCATTAAAGAGAATTTTGTCTGTTTTAGAAAAAGCTGTTGTACAGAGACAGTTAAAATACTTTCCTTCACAGAACTCTGCATCCTCCTTTGGAATGTCTGGCTGATAACAGTGATGATGTGTGGAGATGTATTTATAGTAACTTTGGTCTAGACAGGAAAATGGTTAGTTGGGTAGAAGAGCATGTATATCCATGTGTGAGTACTTTCTTCTCCTAAATCCCCCTCCCCCCTTTACTCCAGTGAAACTAGCACTTTCTTTTTGAGGCTCTATAAACCTGCTAAGTGACATTCTGATATTTTGTTCTTTATGTTATATTTTATAACATTGCATGCTTATGTAATGTAATACTGTGATGTCAAGGGAAGCACACCTAGACTGAATAAAATCCCACATTAGCTGCTTTGAATTGGGATATAAGACAGTGTAGATTCAGATATTCCAGTTCAAAGCAGATATTGGGGGTTATTCTGCCTTGATATTCTTTCTGTGTGGAAGGGCCTCTAGTGGATTACAGTAATTATTTTAAGGAGAGGTTTACTACTTGTTCAACCTTAAATATTCTTTGTCAATGGAAGGTCAGTTAACAAGTACAGTAGAGTCTCACTTATCCAATGTAAACAGGCCGGCAGAGTGTTGGATTAAGGAAAAGCCAATTAAATATCAAATTACTTATGATTTTACAAATTAAGTACCAAAACATCATGGTTTACAACAAATCAACAGAAAAAGCAGTTCAATACATGGTAACATTATGTAGTAATTACTGTATTTACAAATTTAACACCAAAACATTGCAATGTATTGAAACAGCTGTGGATCCAGGTGGGAAACAGACTGCATTGGATAATACAGAATGTTGGATGAGTGAAGGTTGGATAAGCAAAACTCTATTGTATTTGCATTGATGATTAGTTACTGTTATTGAAGAATATCGTTTGGAGGAAACAGAGCATGTGGAAAAGAGCAAAATGCTACATTGAGGGAACACTATGGCTTTCTTGGTTTTGGAAGGGTGTTTTATTGTATTTTACTGCTGGTGTATTTTTTTTGTACAGCCCTCTGGAATCCACTTTTTTTGGATGAAGGTGCAATCTAGCATTTTTTTATTACAATTAAAATAAGTGGAGACCCAATCTGCCCTCCCTTAATACTGAGTTTGAGCAGGTCAAATGGAATTAGTTTTTTCTTCCTCTCTCACTTCAAAATAAAACTATATGGCATATGTTGCTGACCATCAGTTGTGATCAAACCACCAAAGCCTGATGGTGGAAGCAAGTGCATTTCATTGTATAATTGATTACACATGTCAGAATTAGATTTGCTTTGGCACTGTTTGTGAAGGATGATCTTATGATTTTTTTCCCACACTTTGACCCTTTAAACAAACAGTTTTTAAACCCAATTGAAAACAGGAGAGTTTATTTCATATAAATCTCCTGTCTTCTCTATGAAGCAGAACACCCATCATCAGCAACGTTCTCCCCTGCCTTATCACAATAGATATCTTTACAGTCTTCTCAGTTGCCCATCAACAGTATGAACACTTATTTTGCAAACTACTTTGGGTTTATTCACAAAAGTACAATCTCTATCACAGGGACTGAACATTAATGTGATACAGAGTATACACAGCATCTCCTTAAATGTTGGTTTCCTCAAATGAAGCGTGGGTGTTGTGGTGTATCTATAAATATTCCAAGAAATCTTGCAAGAATAGAATGTGGCTTCTACAACTGATCAACTATTGTATTCCAAGACAAAATTTGAAATTCTGATGTAGGACTACCTTATTTTGCTCCAATACTAGTTCATAATTGAGCTTTGTGATACTTAGCTTTCACAATATTGCTAGGCTCTCTTAAAATTGACAAACAGGATTGTATCTGCTGCATTTAAAAGCCCTAGTTTACTTTCCTACCTAAAGTAACTCAGCTTTATATCTAGGGCACATGTTTCCTCCCTGTATGGTACTATCTCTTCTGGCAAGGCCGAATCCTTGCTGAATCCCTTTGTGTAGAAGCTCATGTAAATTTAAGTACCTATAGATGCACATTAGAAAAACTTGACCAGTCTTGGGTCACAGAATTAGGGCACATTAAACAATAATTGATCCTATGAATTTTGGTTGATTGAGCTATTCAATCTGTATGACTTTGCATAAGAATGAAATTATTGTATTGTCGAAGGCTTTCATGGCTGGAATCACTCCGTTCTTGTGGGTTTTTTCGGGCTATATGGCCATGTTCTAGAGGCATTTCTCCTGACGTTTCGCCTGCATCTATGGCAAGCATCCTCAGAGGTGGGGTCTCAGAGACCCCACCTCTGAGGATGCTTGCCATAGATGCAGGCGAAACATTAAGAGAAATGCCTCTAGAACATGGCCATATAGCCCGAAAAAACCCACAAGAACTGAATGAAATTATTGTTTGAAGAACGTCCTTTCTTTTCTGTTTTTTAGCTGATGCTTATATAAGTCAAAGCTGACATAAACCTGGAAAAGGCATTCTTCCCTTAGTGAGAATAGTGAGGCAAGGGATGCTTCTTCTAACATGTTACCCACAACTGAAGAAGTCATTTGGGTGATTGTTAACAGTGTTTTCAATTCAACAATGTCTAGCTTATTTGGAACACCATTTTAATAATTTAAAAAGGCTTCTAATTCTGATCAATGTATTGGCAACCCTAGATACTTGCTCATTGGTGATACTTCAAAATGTTTTCAAGGGCATCTGCCTGCTTTCTCCAGGAGGTGCTACTTATGTACTTCAATGGGAGAATCTCTGTAAAATAAATAGCATTCCCTGAGGAAGGTTTGCTAGAATATAGTTTTTGATTTTATAATTTAGAGCTTCTCTTCTAGAACTAATAAACACAGAAAAAAAGAGGAAGATCTTTCATTCAAAATCTAAAAGGATACATCCGCTGGCACCATTGTGACTTTCAGAAAAACTGAGAGGGGATAATATCCCCTTCCCAGTGCAGGGTACTACACATCACAAATACCTGCTCCATAGGACTAGAAACTCCTTTTTTAGCTTGGTGTGTATCAATGTGGTAATAATAGTACTAATTATTCTTCTATTGTAAATGTTATTTGAAATAACAGAATCAAGAGAGGGGCAGCTAAATTTTTCCATGTTGCCAGAATGTAGTGAGGAGCTTTTTCTGACCATGTGTATTTTGATACACGTTGCTAACAGGAAGCCACATTCTGTGTTGTTCTACGTGGGGCCCGCTTGGGACAAGCTGTGCTGAGTGATGTTCTTCAGGCTGGTTGCATCCCTGTTGTCACTGCTGATTCTTACATTCTACCTTTCTCTGAAGTTCTGGACTGGAAGAGGTATATTATCTATTTCATTATGTTCTTAGTAGTTACACACTCCATGAGTGTGAAACAACTACCACTGGGGGAAAAGCTGCAGTTCATATAATTGTATAGGCTGAAACCCATTGGTGTTCATACAAAGTATATTTATGTGGTATATTTGAGAGCAAGAGGTTTAATATTTTACTGGATCAGCCTTTCTCTACATATGACGTGCTTTTCCATATATTCCATTTTTCCTTCAGCTCATCAAATTTGCTCTAGAGAAACATTTTTCCATTTTAGTTGGTTAATTAACTGTGAGTTGAGAAGACACTGAATTGGATTCAGAGTTTTCTCTCATTAGTTGGATCACACCATGACTGAGGCTCTCCTTTAGACATTCTGGCTGAGGATAAAGGAAGTGGAGGGCTAATTCCATGACCCACACATCTTCTAACACCATCCATCTCATGGTGTGCAGAGGGAGTGGAGGTGTTCTTTGACTTCAGAGTAGATTTTCTGGAGGTTCTAAGGAGAGATCAGCAGAAATAATCTGCTTGAATCCACTACTGGAATAAACTTTCCCTAAATGTGTAGTCCTTTCTATCCATGGGAGGCAAGGTCTGGATCCATGCTTTACTTACCTTTCTTTGAAGTACATGATTGTCATGGAGAGATTGCCAGTACAGGTAGATTCATATCTCTGCTATTTTCTAAAATTATAATTGTTTTCCTTTCAATACTTTTGCAACTAGGGCTTCTGTAGTGATACCTGAAGAGAAGATGTCTGAGATGTACAGCATCCTTCATAGCATACCCCAGCGACAGATTGAGGAGATGCAAAGACAGGTACAGTAGACCCACGGAGTCAAAGCCCAAGTTTACATGTCTTGAGTTTACATGTTAGAATGGAAGCCATAATGTTCTGCATATTTCCGTATTGTAGATTTTAAGTACTTCAGGGAATGTTCTGATAGTGGCATGTTGTTGAATGGATTATGCAAAACAGATAAACTGAAGTTATTAGGACTTATTTCTCAGTATTACTTTTGGATCCACATTATTTCCCTTGTAAGATGAAAATTCTGCCTTTATCTTCAACAATTTGGAGAGCAATCACATTTGCCCATTTAGTAGGACTTGCAGTTGAGACATATTTGAACTTTGGTCATTGCAAGTGATGAGCAAAATCACAACAAAAGGGCTTCAGAGGAGAATTATATAAAGATTCTTTTAAAATCTGAGTAGAAATTGGACCCTTGGTCATTGCATCTTATTTGTTGATGGGATGATCACTTAGGCTCAGCAGGATTTGGCAGTACAGAAGCGTTTGAACAAAAGGCATCTCTTATCAACAGAAACCTTAGATACATTTTAAGATTGTAGTAGATATTAATAAATAAAGTAATGATTTTAAAATTATTTTGTCTATGACCATAAAGCATTGAGGCACCTGCTTCTCTGTGCACTACATACATGTTCATATAAAAAACTAGTTGTAACCCAATTGGATTTTCATGTTAAAGTCAGAGTCATAGAAGAAGATTCTTGTTCTAGGAGCATCTGTGTGTTGATATTAAATGAATAGATAAACGAGGTAAATGAGTTATAGATGCAATAAGAGAATTCATGAAATTGAAAGTTTAGTGGCAAAGCATGTCTGAGTGTTTAAATATTAGATCGTTAATTCAAAAATGAAACAAAAACCAATGCTAGTTTGAAAACCCTGAATGTTGTGTTTTCTGAGCACATTACAGTTGAATTTACACTATTTTTTTAGTTATCAACACTAGGATTACTTTTAATGTATATTTTTAAATGAGGAATTTCCAAAGTGTCTATAAATGATTTTAATGTCCACTTTAAATAAGTAGTTAATTCGTTCAATTGAGATTCTGGTAAGTGGTGTTCTAGGGAATGTATGATATGATACTGAGATACGTGAATGTTAGGATAAGAATAGGATGACATTCTTTGAAGTCCAGACTTGTGAACTTGTAGGAGTTTTGCTATCCAAGTCCTGGAAATTTTGATGTATGCTTGGATCATTTTTGAAATAATTAATTTATATACTTAAATTTGTTCATGTGATTCAGTGGGAGACACTGCAGATAAAACAAACCACCAGAAGAGGTCTCTCTTCCCTTTCTTCATTCTGACTTTTGCTAGTTGGAGACAAAATTATGAATTAACCAAGAGGCATGGAGATATTACCTTTCCATTTAGCATAGTAGAGGGAATATGGCTTTGCTGTGTGTAATTTTATAACTGTGATCTGATATCCATGCTTGTTAAATATTGAGATTAGTGTTATCGATTGTTGCAGCAAATACAACAGCACATGTTTCAACAGGCTGACTAATTTTAGTCTGTGTTTATGTCAGATGTCACCAGGGTCTGAATTATAACCTGAAGCAGCTACAGTAATACACAAAACTGCAAATGTATATATACATCAATTTGAAAATGCATTTATAGATGTTTTCACTTTACACCATTAAGTCAATGAATGGTGCAAGGTTTGGCAAATATAGTAGAATAAAATTAGAGCCACATTTATCAGTGCTCTGGGATTACAGGTTCACTTCTTCATCTCTGACTTATTCTCTTCTGGATCTATAGTACCCTTAAAAAGAAGTAACTGTGAAATTTTGAAGTAACAATATTTCACACTGGACTGCTGCAACAGTCTACGTCAGTATTGCTTTTATGACATCATTATAGTATCACCATTGTTTATCTCCAAATGGTTCCCTGGATTATTCTGTTTAAACAAATAAATAACCTCTCTTTAATATTGGGGCAAATTATGAGTGGTTCTGGCATGTTATTCATTCGTTCAGTCGTCTCCGACTCTTCGTGACCTCATGGACCAGCCCACGCCAGAGCTCCCTGTCGGCCGTCACCACCGCCATCTATGTCTATAAAGCATAACAAAAAGTATTAAATACAATTGCTAATTCACTTGTATTAATCATTTGTGATTTTAAGTTAAATGCTCATTATTTTAAATTTTCTGCAGTATTTTAAAAATATTTGCCTGTAATGGTATTGTAATGTAATGGTAGCTTAAGTAAGATTTAATCGTGTTGGCATGGAAACCACATGATTAACTTAATTGTTTAATTAGTATTTAAAGTAAATGTTGTTTATTTTAGATTAAGTTCACTTGTGTCAAAGGAACTCTTTTCTTTATAGTGTGTATTGTCATTCTGTGAAACTACTTAAAAGGACCCCTTCTCCTTCCAGTTGTTTGCAAAGTGGAAAATTGTCTGTTTAGTTGATGCTAAATGTGCCATTTTAAAATGAAATCTACAGACCTACTCACTTTAGTGTTTATATGAGAAATATATATTTAAAGTATTGTTTATATTGCTGGATTATAGATACCTGCAAAGAATCTTAGTTGGTATCAATTATTGATACCTTACTTTTTTCTTCATATTGGAATGTTTTAGATGTCTGGAATTAAAACATTCTGAATCATTCATACTTCTGTATTTTAACTACTCGATCAGCATTAAATAGCTATTAGAGAAGCTAGTGTGAGTTTTCACTATAGATTCCAGTTCCTTACCGGACTAAATTGGTTGATCTTAGGATCACCATACACCAGAAATTACTCAAGAAAAAATATTGAAAAGGTCAGTTTTGGGGGTTTTTTAAAGTGAGGAGGTAGAAAAATTTGAAACTCGTGTGCTGTGTTAACTGTATTTTAATCTTTGTTTTGTTTATTTTAATATATGTATTTCATACAAATACTTTTTAATACATGTATTTTACATAATGTTTTATGAAGTGTTTTAACTATGTTGTGCCCCACCTCTGCAGTCAATTGTGGCCCCATATGACCAGGAAGATTTATTACAGCTGGAAATTTAAGTTTTGCAGCAAAAAATGATAGAAGCATAATCTAATTTAGGTCCTTATTGATCTGGGGGGGCTCCTCCCTCTTTAGTCCTAGGAGTAGTTTTTTTTGTTCAAACATATGTAGCCCCCAACACACCTTGCAAGTGGTTATGCTACACTCTGGTTTTGTCATGCTGTGCACAGAATGCACACAATTCCTTTTTTGTCAGTCTATTTATCACCAGATTTTCATATAAAAACATCTGTGGAATCTCCAGTGAGTCATGGCTGCGTGTGTAATAATTGTGTGAAATACATATTTGGAAAATAATCTCCAGCCTAGATGGAACTGTACTCATCCCTGGATCACATTCTTAGTTTGGGTTAAAAAGGTCACCACCTGTTCAACAGCTGTTTCCTTTTTTCTTCTTTCTCTGCTCTCTCTTTCCTCTTCCTCCTCCAGCCATGGAGCTATTTCACAATGAAGTGATAGGTTAAAGATGGCCCTTGACACAAAGATTTGACTGGGGTGAAGGTGAGAAGCGATTGCTTAGGATTCTCAGGCACAGTGGTTTGGCAAAAATATAATTTTTTTCTTGCCTGTTTTCATCATTGATTGTTTAAAAAAGATGCACTTCTGTGGTGCAGTGCAAGTATTAAGGCTCGATTAAGTCATTTTATGAATTCTTCAAGGATTGTTTTGAGTAAAAAATGCAGAGGGAATTCTAAATACAAGACTATGCTCATGCATTGCCTACGTGTGATGAAGGGATGGTTTTTAAGCAACTTTTAATGTGGATATAAGTGATTTTAGTATTTGTATATATTCATGGTTTTATGTCCCGGCACTGAATGTTTGCCATATATATGTTGTGCTCCACCCTGAGTTGCCTGCGGGGTGAGAAAGGCGGAACATAAATGTTTTAAATAAATAAATAATTAAGGGCCAAGATAATAAATGTACATGTGACTGCTTTGGTTGGGTTCGAAGAACTGAAAACATCATCTTCCTGTAGTTGGAAGGTATTTAAATCCCCAACATTTGTTCATTCTGTCATTTAATTTCTACAGTAAAGTTTCGTATCCTTCCTCCCTAGCTATTGCATAGTAGAATTGACATATATCAGTATGTAGCATTTATTTTCTTCATAATTAATGCCCTCACCTTTTAGTTTACTTTTGCATTGCACTTGCTCAGTTGCTTACTGTTGTGTATACACTGTTTTTATTTCCAGTGATATTTGATACCCATTATGTGCAGACTCACACTCACCCACTTTTTGTGAACAGTGGACGAACCAGGAAAGCACATTTCCTCAAATGTTCCATAACATCCAAGCTAGGAATCTTGGTTAATGGTTTCAAATATGTTACAGTCAAAGTTGGTTTCAAAATCCTGGCTTGAAGGGAGTGGAGCAACATCTAAAAGATTGAATATAGATTCATTGGCTTCTTACATGTCATGTCTGTCCAGATTTGTCAGAACCAAACCATTGTAGAGCTTGCTTGAGTGAAGTTCATACAGAATCAGGTATTTGCATTTCCTTCTGCAGCAATGGAGGACATGGCAGGGACACTGTGTGCCTTCTATGAATAGTGAAGGATGTGGTGAGTGCAGAAAGCCTTTACAATACTATAAAGAGAGAACTCTCAGCTATCTTCCCATGTCTTGTGCTATCACTGACTGCTGTGCGGAATTGCAACAAGAGCAGAACAAACTTCAGTTGTGCAGCTCTCATATTTTTGGCTAAAACTAATGACAGAGATAGTCAGCTTTGCTCTATAAACCTGTCTACTTTTAAAGTAGTTAATTTGTGGGCACATTGCTTATCTGCATTTATCTATTTTTTCATCATCTCAAGATTCTAAATTCCAAATCTGTGTCAAATAAATAATGTGTTGTTGGTTTGTCCCTGCACACTGTTTTTTTTTTTAAAAAAACAAACCCTTACTCTGCCCTTTATGATAAATTATTCTTGTGTATATATTTCTGCAGCAGG